CACGCCTCGCACACGATGCGGTGAAAAGATCGAAGAAACATCGCCCTCACGGTTCAACAGCGTGATGTGTAAGAAAGTGCACCCGCACGTTTTGTAAAGAAAAAACCTAGTGAAGACCTTTTTTTTTTAATCTGATGTTCTCCACTAGTTGGGTTTCTGTTTACGCTACAAATTATTTTTTTAAGCAATATTATCCAGAAACAATTTTTTTTCTATTAAAATTGTAATTTCCAGTCTTCTGAATTTAAATGACGATCCTTTTCATAACATAGCTCACTCAGGTCAAATTTTAATATGAGCACATTTATTACAATAACAAACGCGGGTCCTTTTTAAACGCATGGAATTTTAATGATAAAATATTCGTTGCAGAATATTCATTGACCTCATCTGATATTAATTATATATTCGCCGTAATTTAAATAGACAACGGCATCGCTCATGGGTCATTAATTTCAATATAAACATTTATTGCAATACACTTTATGCACATGAATGTTTATTACAATTAATAATATTTAGTATATAAATTCGTAATTCGATGGAAAATGTCCATAAAATCTCACACCGTTTTTATCCGTTCGAGCTTTTAAACGCGGAAAGCCGAAGGAAATGAATAGTCGGCTGACATCAAAGGCAGCTAACGCTCTCTTTCTGTACGCCCACATGGATATGTATATGCGCGTGTATACGCTGTCTTATACGGGTACAAAGACGAGAGACTTTTCCGAGAGGCGATCTACCATCCGACCGCGACTGTGCATCTTGACGAGTATTGTGTTCCGCCGGCGTAAGCAAAGTAACTAGCATATGTTCCTTGTATGATCGCGAGAAAGCTGAGACCGAAGAAAGAAAGACGGAAACTTCGTTCCTCTTACCTGGCGTCGTTTCTGCATTCTTGCGTCTATTATGACTGCGGCTGCGATAAGATCTTTCGAGGTTGTCGCACTTGGCGATTTATTATTACAGTTGCAAGATTACAGAAACCATCCTGTCGATATAATAATAACTAGGAGAGTTCCATTCGTTGAAAATTGTATAACCATTTTTCTCAAATATTTGAAGAAATAAATTAAATTATTTATTATTTGTTTCCTCCCTACATCTTCATTAAAATGATTCGTGAATTAGATAATATTTTGCGTTTTATTTGAAGAATGTCACATTTTTCTTTCGACTTTGTCAGAGATCGCAATCTTTTACGTGCACGTTCCGTCGAGCGTCTAAGCGTGTCCATCCACGTCTCACCCTTTCCCACATCTTCTTTCTTTTGTCAGCGTTATCTGGAGTCCTGACCGAGTTTCTTCGCGACTCTTCTCGCCGCAATTCGATAAGCGCGATCGCGATGGCAAGAGCAACAAACGATGCGACCTTGCCTTTTTATAGCTTCGGTAGCTTTAGGGTTCACTGGTGTCGTCGATAACGTTTCTAATGGGACGTGCGAAGCGAGCTTTACGTCGTCGTTAATTTACCCTAACGCTTTTCCAGCAGTTTTATTACTCGCCTCTCAAGTTCTCATGATCTCGCCGCCATGATCTCATCGTGAATCGCTATCGTCGCTCTGTTTTTCGCGCGTACATAGTCGTTTTTACGTCGATGAGAATACAATTTTAAAGCGTAGCATATGGCTCTGTTGCTACCGATAGGCATGCTTGTTTGAAAGCGCACTAAAGAACTTTCAGCAGTTTGTACAATTGGACTGTTTCAACTTTTATTCGCATTTTTCCTCTTTGTAATTAAAATTATATAAGAGGATTATAAGGAATCGCGATAAAATTGAAAATGTTTCGTAATTATATAAAAAGAATTCGAGACTCGCCTGTTTGCGCCAGGGAGATGCATTTACGATATATCAGCGGCATGTTTAAGCCGACAAAAGAGGGTTTAGAGAAGTCTCTTGGGAGTCTCCGAAAATATCTCTTTGTTCGTGCACATTCCTCGATATATATTATC